AGATTATTTTCGAATATGTAAAATAAAGAAGTAAAAAGTAGTTGAGAAGGTTGAAACTTGCATGATCTTTAAGAAACCATTTTTTTTAATAGACATTACTTTGTAGATTCGGGAGTAACTAATATACAAAGATTGTACTATATATAAAAAAGGTGAAATTTCATAGAATGTTGTTTTAAAGTTAATATAAAAATCAAACTTCTATTAATATATAATTTATTCATGTAATAAAAAATCAGATTCGTTATTAAATAAAAAAATTTTAATAGTTCGCTAAGCAAAATCAAGAATTTCAAGCCATTACAAAACCGTAAATTTCAAGATTTTTGAAATTGGATTAAAAAGAATGCCGTGGCTGAAATACTATTGGTAATAGTTGTTTAAATGTTTTTATAATTATGATATATCTTCCATACTCCTTTTTTTTTTATTTTGAGTAGCCTTTTTTCTCCCAATAAGATAAGGTATTATATTCTTTTCTGCTCGTCCTTTTGCAATACGTGTCTCCTGTTTTAAAATATCTTGTTTGACAATATTCGTAATTCTAATTACTCCTTTGTTATAACAGGTAAATATACGTTCATACCCACTAGGTGTTAGTTGGTCAGAGATTTCAAACAATAGGTGCTTTTCGGGCTCATTAGAGAAAATTGCTTTAGAGAGTTTATTTACTAATTTCCATAATGCCTCTTTATGGTTAACCTCTGCATGCGTAGATTTGCTTATACAGTTATCAGTTACATATTCTGCATGCAATGCCATCAATCGATCTCTTTCATTTTGGGCTGCCTTAATTACTAATTTTAAGTTTTCTGGATTAGTTGGGCATCCAGTCATATTTTGTTTAACAAATTTTACACCAAAACACTCAAGTGCTTCATCAAATGCAAAAAAGTGTTCATCCGTGGTAAGATTTATAGACCCAACTATCTGAAGTTTTGCCGTTAGTACTGGATTTGTTTCCACTGTCATCAAGAAACGTGGCACTGATTCAGCATATCTTCTTTTTCCAGTGATGGGAAATAGTGGCGCAAAAGCTTTCAAATGTTCATGCTGAACTTCAAAATTACCCATTCGAATGCCAATTTTGTGAAGCTTGAGCCAACCTGCCCACTGATAATATAGGAGCCAAACTTTTAAAATATTGTTGCTTCCATTTTTGATATCTTCTAGTATTACGCAATTGTCATTCATATATTTATGAATGACAATTGCTACAGCTGCCCAGATAAGTTCAAGAACACAAAATGTTGCACAATAATCGACAACATCCTGAAGTTTTTCTAGAAACTTTATACCAAGTACAGACGCTAATCCAAATAATCCATATCTGGAAAAGGCGACAATTAAAGCACTACATATATCCTTACTTGTATGCCACTGACCAAGAATGGGATTTAACTTTAATTGATTATTGGAATAATCTGTAAGTCTGCGAAAAATAGCCTCATCACATACAACGTCTAACAAGTCACCTTGATTTAATTTCAGGTCTTCTATATACATTTCACAAGTTTTATGTACTGCAAGGTTACTGTTTGGCGCTGGCCCAGCTTCTAAGATAACGATGGTTGGAGGAGAAACATTGCATCCTTTTCCCACTGCTTCTTTGAGCGCTGTATTTATTTCATCCATAGCAAATCCTAGTGGATATTCCGTAATTAATCGGTTGAAGATCTGAGTAAGCTTTTCTGTCCACTGTTCCACAACCGGATTTTTTCCACACAAATCAATATCAGTTGTTGAAGGCGCTATGTCGAGGTCAGGCAGTTCGAACTGAAAAACCATGCGCAAGGTAGCATGAGCCGTATCTCGAGTATCATCATATTGATTACTGGCTCTAAATGTTTTTTCTTTGAAATCAATATTGTCTATTACCACCAAGTTCCAAATATTTGAATCTGATTTTATTTTTTCTTGCACATTTACTTCCGACATGCGTTTCTTTCAAACCTTTACCTCGTAATCTTTTGAATATGCTACCACATTTGCCACGCGAAGAATACCACGCAAGTATGATGCAAGCTTTGGCCATTCACAAAAAGATCCAATCACTTGTGGAAGCCAAAATTTCCAACCTCTAAATGCGATTGTTAGAATTATAGAAGACAAAAATGCAGTACTTTTTACTACTTCGCTTTTGTTGAATTCAGCTATGGCACTTTTGCGTTCTTTTTGTTTTTGTTTTACAATTTCATATTTTTTAAGCTGCAAAGTAAGAACTAATCCATCAAAGAAGCTTGTTAAACATTTTGGTATTGTTTCATAGTACTGCTGTAAGGAGTCGGGACATTCTAATGTTGATTTACAAGGTGCTAGGCTAGTCCGTGATCTCAAAACTTCAAGAGCAAGTAACTTTCCAAATTCTTCATATTTTTTAGATTTTTGTATAAATTGTTGTTTGGAAAAATCAAGTCCCTTAATTTTAAAATTTGTGTTAACTACAAACAAGCTAGATAGTTGGCTAGGTGCAGAAGATGAATCCAAATCAAAATTTTCTAAGCACGGAATGAGAATTTGAAGTAAATTCTTTTTTGTTACTTTATTCTCTGAATGCGTCACCATTTCAATTAGCTTTGCAAAGTGGCGGAGAGCAGTTTCAATATCATCTAAATGCATTGCAGTGTATCCTGGGTCTGTCTTAGCTCCTGTACCCATGCGTATATGCAAATGTTCACCATTCTTTTCATAACACTAACAGCACACATAACGAACTCCCCGTGAATTAGATGTATTTTCTGTGTATAAGCTTTGATCAATAGCTGGACAGAGAACCATTTCACGACAAGGTATTTGTAGTGTCTGATTATACACAATCCGTGTATGTTCTATACAACTTGTTCTACGACTAAAGAAAATCTTTTTTTTGTTGCAGAAAAAACAGATACAACAATGGATTTGACTTTTTTCAGTTGAGCGTTGGTCTTTCAAATCTTTACTATGTACATTATTTTGGTTATAGTTAAAATGTCTTGAACATACTCCAAGAAATTGAAGTTCTCTGTTAACATCATTAACAGCATCCATGTCAATTTCCCAGACACCAATTAATTCTCGCAACCTCTTATTACTTTCTCTATTACAGCGTTGTATTTCTCTATGGTCATTATCGATTATAACGCATGGTATAATCAATTTTGTCCTAATCGTAGAAATCTCTTCAGTGTATTCACTACCGATTTCCTCATCGCTTATTTCTTGCAAGATTGGTATGTCTTCTATATTAAATTCTTTCTATGGATTATTCTCAAGTTCTGTTGAAACTAGGGCATGCTCGTATAAGCTTTGTTCTAAGTTAAATATAGGATCATCATCATAGTTTTCATCATCTATGTTCTCGACGTCTATTAAATCTTCTTGGAATTCATCTTGCAAAGATTGTGAGAAATTGATATCCATTTTATTTAATGATAAATTAATAGTGGTTTTTTATTGTACTGTGTTTTTTGCCGATTTGAAAATATTTAGTTAATGAAACAAAGGTGATGTGAGGGCTTTTTATAAGAAAAAAATTTAATATAATGGTATTGCATCTCGAGCCAAGTCAAATTTGTACACCACAACTATTTTTATCAAGCTTTTCCAAGCTTTTCCAAGAACGAAAAAAACATTTTATTGTAAAGTTGTACATAAATAAATATTTATTGAATTATTAAATATATTTTTTATTTTTATATTATTTTTTAATTAAATACTAAAATCTTATATTGATAGATTTAAGGATACGCTTTATTAAATATTTAATTCTAAACACTATCCAAGATTATTTTGTTAAATATTATCCCCAAAATTAATAAAAATTATTCTGTTTATTAATTTAAAATTCTTTATCTGTTATTATACAGTACATTATAATGCTACTAATAACTAATTTACTTATTCTTACAACCCAAAAAAAAATAAATAAATAAAATTTTGTGAAGATAAAATTGTCTCTAGTTCTACAAAGAAATAATTTAACTTTATATGGATTATCTAGTGCTGATATGTATTTGCTTTTCCAATTACCTATAAAATAACATGCTTCATTTGATAACTGTTGAAAATAGTTTGTCCCAATCGATATAGTTATAACTACCAAGAATTTTAACAGTACCTTTAACCTTTATAACAATGACAGGATATTTTCTTCAAATAAAATCGAAGATAAAACCATTCTTAGTTCCATGAAGAAGTAATTTAAATTTATATAATTATCTATCACCAAATATGTATTAGCTTTTTTCTATCAATACATGAAACAATTTCTGCTGCATGTGCTTTATTGTCCCAACCTATAGGGCTATTACTGCCAAGAATTTCATAAATATCTTTAATCTTCATAATTACAAGATGTTTTCTTACCACACAACTTCCAAATAAATTGAAAATAAAATTTTAACTAATTTTAAGCTTCGTATAACTATATGTTACTGAATATGTCATTACTATTAACCTGTGAAAATGGTTCTGTATTTCTATTTGGTAATTTTTGTGTCAAAACTATATGATTTTAGAAGCCTTAGCTGTTTACTAAAAACAGAATAAACCAAAAAAAAAAATAGTTTTAGTTGAAATCTTAAAATATACAAAAAAAAAACGTAAATGAAGACAAGAAGAAGTCTTGGATTAACAAGAAGTCTTGGATTGACAAGAAGTCTTGGATTGACAAGAAGTCATGGATGCCAAGAATATTATGCTAAAGAATCTGTAGTATGTGATACTTAGTAGCTCATAAAAAAAAAAAATTATGTGCTGATTAATTTCATTCAAATACTACTTTTGGGCTCAATTATCAATTATTTAATAATATTAATCTATGAGATTTGTGTACCTATTCATAAAATGGTATAACCAAAAATCTGCATATAGTTAGCTTCAATAACCTGTAAAACTATTAAAAAAAACTTGTATCAGTTAAACTCTTATTCAAATGCTATTTTGAAGCTTAATTGCTTATGTTTTTAAAGCAACTTATATGCTCATAAAATATTATAACTGTTCGTAGGTTGTTACAGGGTTTTTACAACCAAAAAATAGCAATGTGCAATGTTTTAAAGCATAAATCTAAAAAAAAGAAGCTTATGCGTGGTGAATTCCTTCATTAATGTATCTCTTAATTTCATATTCAATTACAACTTTTGAGCTCAAGATTATTATAAACTACCTTTTTAACTACAGACAAAATTTATAAAGCTGTTAGCCAGAAGCAGCGAGAATATTATAGTTAAAAAGGAGCTATATACAATATCTTAGTATCCCACAAACTCAAAAAAACCTGATATTTTATGAATTTTTTACTATTAAAGCTTGCTTTTTTTTTATATGTATGCAAATATAATAATCATCATCTCCGACATGTCGTCTAACTGATAGTATTTTGGATTTCAAGTCGAGTAGAGGCATTGTCACAGGGAAGATAGATATGCCTACCCTAACAAGCCAAGAACCAGATACTCTTGATCTTAATCACTTTTACCAAAATAACGCTGGAACTTATGGAGTTGCAATATACGAAGATAAACCAGAAATCGCTAAAGCAATTTCTAAGAGCTTTAACCAACTGCTTGTTTTAACAAAGACTTCCACAACTACCAAAAAGTCACACACTTCTTCCCTGCTCCACTCTCAACTGCTATAATTACCTGCTTCTGCAAAAAATATCATACTAAATTTATAGCTAAGGATGACAAAATCTATGACTTTAATATGAATATAAATGCCACAATGTCAAGTACACAAACTAAAAAGCTTATGCAAAAACTCAATGACACAACTCAATCAATCCCACAATCACCAATTTCACAACAACAAACACATCTCGACAACACACCAAATACACCCTCTCCACTCTTTCATACTCATACTTGCGTAAACTGCAACCAAGTTATTAATTGCAAATCAATCAATGATCATCACTCACCCCAAGGCAACTCAATTAAATATGATGAAAACTATTATGACTCTTGCATCTGGTTAGATCCTAATTGATTTAGGTAAATTTGTTTTGTTTTTGAAATCGTTAAGTCTTAAGTTATTATCACATATTTGATTGTTAACAATGTCAATACAATTTGAGATCATGAATTTGTTTTTTTGTGTAGGAATCATAGTGCATATTAGTCTATTAATTAGGTCTGAGTTTTCTTTGTATCCTACTATGTGTGTGGTGTTTAGAGTGGTGTTTAATTCAGATGATTGGAGAGTATTGTTTTTTTTCTGAGTTAGTAGGTGCTATATTTCATTGTTAATTTTACCCATGTGGATTTTCTGTAGTATGTTGAAAAATTCTATATTCTGATTTTGTCTTTGAAGTTCATAGAGAAATAACAGGTAAAAAAGTTTCCATATTGGAGATTGGTAGATAGAGGAACAGAGACTGGAGGTAGTTGTGCTAATTCGAAAAGTTCAGAGATGTATATCAGAAGTTGGCCTAATATCATAGAGGCCTCATCGATAATAAGAGTATCAATTTGAAGAAGAAAATTATTTAATTCATCATTATGAAATGCAAGAGTGTGAAATCCTCATTTGTTGGAGGCGATTCGTAATGCGGAATGAATAATTAAACCACCAATGTTTTGGATGACAATTCTGGTTGGAGCCATTAATAAGTAGTTTCTGCCTATTTTTTTGAAATCTTCTATTAATAAATGTATTATGTAGGATTTACTAGTACCTGCTGGGCCTGTAATGAAAAAAAAGGATAATGAGACCCGTCTCGTGGTCCTAAGTAATTAGCTATTGTTTGTTGACAATAGTATTGAGTTGGTGGTAAATTAATTGTTGAGTTAATTATTGAAATTTGTGGTAATATTTTTATAGAATCTAATTGTATTTTTATTATGTCTATGATGTTTTTTGTTAGAATTGATTCTAAAG